TATATCATGATTATCATGGCAGGGAGCAGACAGGCATGTGCCAGAGCAGGAGCAGAGAGCTCTATATCCCAATCCATAGGCAGCGGGCGCAGAGAGTGGAGGCTCAGCCTGGTATGGACTTCTGACACCTCAAAGCTCACCCCCCAGTGACACACCTCCAGTAAGGCCACACCTCCTAAACCTTCCAAAACAATGCCACCAACCAGGGACCAACCATTGAAACATATGAGCCTATGGTGGCCATTCTCATTGTAACCACCATAGGGCCGGTCTCAACAAGGTGAGCTGGGGAAGATGAGTGTCCTAAGGAAGGGCAATAGCTAGGGTTCTCTGACCTCCACATGTTAGAAACATCGAATATTAGTCTTTTCTGAGAAGAAATTCAAATCCTTTCATCTCCTCCCACTAGTAAGACTGTAATGCAAATGTTTCAATCCCCTCCCCTATAAATCTTTTTTATTTACAATGGACAGGCAGCATTGTCAGAGCTTAAGTAATTTAGGCACTGACACTCCCCCACCCCCTTTCCTTCACTTCCTTTTCAGGTTTCTTTTACAGCTGGCCAACAGAGAGACTGTGGGTCAGACCACAGTCTATGGGGAAAGGACACAGTCACCACCTGTGTTAGAATATAAACCAACCATCTCCCCACCCAGTCTGCCAGCTCTTCTGCTTTCTGAGTAGCACACTCTGCTAATTAGAAGTAAAGTTTGCCTTGTTGAAATGCTTTAATTGGAGAAGCCTCTCATTTCAACAACACACTCATACCCTGCATGTAAATCCCGCCACACACACCAAATCCACTGTGTAAACAGTACGTGGTAATACTGGTACTGAAACAACCAACAATGCAGACATAGTACGTGTTCCAGTAAAGCTAATGGTTTCTGAGATGAAAATAGTTAAACAGTGGTAACACAGCACACTAAGCACTGTTGTGCTTTCCACTGTTGTGGTCACTGATAGGTAGACCAGCTGCTCATAATGAATCTGTGTCTCTGCATGTCTTGACATCATTTCTACCCACCCAGTCCACTCCACACTCCAGGTGACTGAGCAGCTGCCTGATAGTTCTCTGCAGGTGAATTGTTATTTTGGCTCTAAACTCAATTAACAGCAAAGTAAACCAGAGCCTCCCTTGATTAGATATACCTTCACAACCCACAAGCCACACTTCTCAAACTGTCTCTTTCGGTCCTCAAGTTCCTGAGTTAAAGGTACCGGGTAACGAAGATATGTGTGAAATTTTTCCATTTCATCCAGTTTTCCTTGCTCATTGGTCCACTGTCCTAAAAAAGGAAGACAAAAACCTTGTTTCAGTGCTCTGAGAACACAGAGAAAAAGAATTAAAAGGAGATTCAATGAAGCAAATTCTTTCTGGGCAGTGGTGGCACACGTCTCTAATCCCAACAGTCAGGAGGCAGGGGCATGCAGATCTCTGAGTTTGAGGCCAAACTGGTCTACAGAATCATTCCAGGACAGCCAGAGATACACAGAGAAACCATGTCTCGAAAAACAAAAACAAAACAAAACAAAACAAAAAAGAGTGACAGCCTATTTAACCTATCTTATGGTTGAAAACACCTAAACCTTTAGTCACTTTGGATTCCAGGAACCACAAGGTCTTCCAGGCAGGACAGGCCACTTCCAAGGTTAGAACAGTTGTCTGTGATGGAGACAGATCTTGTAAAATACAGGTTAGTCCCCCACCCCCACTATAGATGACTGTGATTAACAATTACCAATTTGTGAGACCACTTTGCAGGCTGCCAAACTGAGGTAATGATGGGCAGGAAAAAACTTGACAAGGCCTGCTTGCTTTCTGTGCCTACCCTCAAAAGTTTTGTTTTGTTTGTTTTTTGAGACAGGGTTTCTCCACTGATTTTGGAGCCTGTCCTGGAACTCGCTCTGTTTCTGTAGACCAGGCTGGCCTCCAACTCACAGAGATTCGCCTGTTTCTGACTCCTGAGTGCTGGGATTAAAGGTGTGCACCACCACCAACTGGCAAGCTTTGTTTTGTTTTGTTTTTGTTTTT